AGCGTATACACGTTGGGTTCCGCACAACCTTAATTCAGTTCAAAAAAAATCTAGAGTCCAATCTTCGAAAGAGCTCCTCTCTATATTGGGTGCGTATCAATCCAAGAAGTTTCGCTTTTTAGTAACAGGGGACGAGTCTTGGTTTCAATATGCAACAGAAGCCAAAATCATGTGGATCCCGAAGGATGAAAATCCGCAAACATTCCCGAAGAAAAAAATTGACACACCAATGATGATGTTGTCGGTTTTTTGGGGCGTGAATGGCATCATCGCAATTGATATTCTTCAAAAACCTAATACAATGAATGCTCAGTATCTAATTGACAATGTTCTTACTCAAATTATCAATTCTGATGAGTTTGAGAAATCCAAACAACAAAAACAAAAGTTTGCAATTCATTTTGATAATTCAAGAGTTCACAAAAGTCATAAGGTAATGAATTACTTGCTGGAAAACAATGTCAAAGTTGTTCCAAACCCAATTTATTCACCTGATATTGCACCCTCTGACTTTGATTTATTCGGCACGCTAAAAAAGAGAGCTGAAGGACGCGAATTCGCAAGTCCAGATGATCTTGAAAATTTTGTAAGAGAGCAATTTGAGCAATTTTCTCATGATGATTTAAAGCGTGTTTTTCAAGCCTGGATCGATCGCTGCGAACGCGTGATTGAATCCAATGGTGATTATATTTAAATAAACTTTATATATATGTATCTTGTTTATTTCTATTCGCAGTATTCAGGTTTGTGCTAAACACACCTTTGGACACCCTATATTATGTTGTACTTTCTTGATTTCATGGAATTTTATAGTATGAAATTGAATGACAAGCAGTTAACGTTGATAAATTTGGGGAAAAAAATTAGTTATGGTTTGAGGATCTTATTAAAGATAATAAGGCGAATTCAAAATAGTTTGAAATAGAGCAAGTAGTTAGTGCCAATTTTTTGGGAAAAATCATATATTTCCTGAAATCCAACTTGATTTAATGTTCAACATTAAATAAAATAGAGAGTTTATAACAAATCAGTTGAAAGAATACAAAAAATAGGAGGGAATTTCATTCGTTTTAGATTATTTTTTTCTCGTTGTTCTTCTAATTCATCTTGAGTATATTTCTCGAATGTGGCATTGATAAATTGATGACCTGAGATTAAATCATATTCATCAACTGCATAAAATTTAAGAGAACAACTTCCAACATTGATGTCTTTTGGAATAGGAATGAAATATTGAGTTTCATGTTGAGAATCATTAGAAAGAGTGATGTTGACAATGTTGCCTTGAGTGTTGTTAAGAACATGGAAGATTCGAATATAACTCATTCCATCTTTGTCTGAAACTGAAAGAAAGAATTCAAGAGTGTGACATTGGTTGATGAAAACTGGAAATGCTGGTTTATGCGTGATTTGAATAGATGGAGGATTAAATTCAAAATAAAATGATTGATTATGAAAAACACATTTATCTTTTTTGTCACAACATTTAATAAGAAGATTATGAGGACCACGTGATAGATTGTTTGGAATAGAAATATCAATATTGAATGAATGATTGTTTAAATCTGAAATAGAATATGATTTTGTTATTTGACTATTTGGATATCCTTCAATTAATCCTTTGATTTCAACTTCATCATCACCATCTTGATCTGAAACATACCCTGAAACTGAAATGGAAATATCGTTTTTGTGAAAATATGTGTCTTTGATTGTATCTGAAATAATAATAACTGGATAGTTTCGATAGAAATAAAATTCTTTTGATTGTAGTGATGTAGTTTCACCACTATTAATTGTTATTCCCCAAACTGTAACTGAATATTTATTTTCTTCTACAATAGAATTTGGAATAAAACAGGAACCTGAAAATGTAAAACTATGTGTTGCTGCGTTTTTAGTTAGAGTTCCGTCGAATATACTATTGATATCACCAATACTACAATTAATAGAAAAATCTTCAGAATAAATTCCACTTCCTCTTATTTTGATACCTTTGTCAATAGTTTTGTTGTATTGTTTTCTTTTGAGATCATTTAATTCAAGAGAAAATGTATATGAATATTCAAATTCAACTGAAACTGTGTTTGATCCAAATGTTTGATCAAATGCATAAATTTTGTGAATTCCAATAGATAATTCTTTTGGGATGTTGATTGAATATTCATATGTTGAAGAGCCACTTAATTTACTAATTTTAGTTGATGAATAACTGTCAATCCAAATTTCAAGGGTAAATGATTCTTCTTTATTTCGATCAAATGAAACTGTTCCGATGATTGTTGTGTCTTCTCTTAATTTATATTTGGTTTTTTCTGTTGTAATTTTCATCAAATAATAAAATGGATAATCTGCATAACAAAGTGCTGTAAATATATGTGCATTTTCAATATTAAGTGAATTAGTTGTTGAAATATCAAAATTTGCATTACTTTTTTTTGTAGTGTAATAACTATAATTATTATTTGATGGAATGAAACAAGAAGAAACTGTAATTGAAGCACCACTATCTGCAAAAAATAGAGAATTTCCTTTGTTGTTTGATATAATACATTCTGTAATAAAAACTTTAACATAGTAAGATGCATAAATAACTCCATTAAAATATGTTGATGTCATTGAACATTCATTTGAAATGATGTTGCAATGGTTAACTCGATTTCCATTTTTATAATGTAATAAGCATCTTTTATCATTACCAATGTTTTTAATAAATGTTGAATATGAAACAGTTGCATCTAAATCTGAATTTCCTGAAATAGAGTAGACTGAATTAATTCTTGTTAGTGTATTAGAAATATTTACATTTCGAACAATATTTTCACCATATAGATGACAAATTGGTCCTGAATGTCCTTGACTTCCAGTGATAGTTGATTCAATTAAGTAATTTTTGTATGATTTATCTTCTGTTGCTTGAATATATGAATGTGGGAATATATAAATTGAGTTAAGGAACATATTGATACTGCAGATTCGATATTGAACAATTTGACCTTTGTTTTGGTAAATGTTGCCACCAAATGAATCAGAGCCATGATTGGAATTAAAAACACTATTTGAGATAAGAAGTCGATTGTTGTCGTTATCATCGAGTTTAATAAGTTGTTTGTTGTGATTTGTAAATAAAACGTCATGAACATGAAAATTTCCTGTTCGTGAAACAAGAACTGTATCTGTTGTATGATCTGTTGGATTATATCCACTGAAAAATTGATTCCATAAATCATTTGTCAAAGAATGAATTCATTGAACAAAAAATTTTCAAAATGGAAATGAAAACAAATTCAACATTTCTCATACATTTCCTTTAATTATACTTCCCCAAAACTATTTCCATTACAATAAACAAACTCACTATCATCATCCCATCAATATTTCACTTCAAAAATATCTAAGATTACCAACTTTCATCAAATTCACTATGAAATATAAATATTTCAATCATATTTCATACTAAATCATGATTCTTATATATGATAAAGCCTTTATTTAGTATTTTATTCTTTTACAATCAAGTTATTTGTCATTTCATTACTTTATTCATTACATTTTGATATATTATTGTTTTAATCATTGCATTTATCTTATTGTTATTACAAATAGTATCATATACAACAATAATTCATCAAATATTCAACTAAATTTCAAAAAGTTCCACATTTTAAGAACAAATCCCAAACTTTATTGATTTATATCTTCATAACAAATCAATACAAAACGAATTATCATTCATTTTTGAAATTTCTATTTATTTTTAGTTCCAATTTTTCATTTTCATTGATTATACTTCATCAAAACCATATTTATTGAACTAAACAACCTATTTATCATTGATGTACATCTATTCTGAAAGCAAAAATACATTTCAACAAACAAACGCAAATCTCACCAAATAATTTAAATTATTCAAAGATATTTCTTACCAAATCATGATCAATGAATTCTAATATGTCTTTGTTCTTCATTTTCTAACTTAATTCATTGTATTTCGAAATAATAATTATTAAATATTATTATTAGTACAAATAAAGTTATTTACAACAATAATTTTTTAAATATCTAACTCATTTTCTAAATTTTCAAAATTTTATCAATAAACAACATGATATATTCACTTACTATTTCATAGATATACATATTACAACATAATACAGTTATTATTTCAAGTTTTTAGTTAATTCAACTTTAATTTACTATTTTAGATAATTTTAATAAGAAATTTTGACTAAATCTGATTCACTTTCTTTTATTTTCATTACATATTTACATTATCATAATAATATTAATAATTTCACTGATAATACTTACATCTATTGTTATCAGTTATTTGATTTGTTTGTAATATTTCGTATCTCTCTATCAGTGATTTCCAAATATCTACATTTATAAAACTGTAACCAAGTGATAGTGTTGATCTTCTTGTTCTGACTGAATGGGATAAGTTCTTTGCAAGGATAAATCTTTGACTTCAATCTCTTCGGTAGATCTGTTTGTCTTTGCTTTCTGCATTTGGGAACCATCACAATGAGATTTTCGATTTCTTGGCTCATGTCGACCGATGTGATTGTTTCTCTTTCCATTTATCTCTCCATTCGATTAGGCCAAGAGTATGTTCGAGTTTGTCACTAAGAAATAGTAGCTAAGAAAATTTCGCAACAACTTTCAGAAGAGTCTTCATTCTTTGCTGTGTTTTAGAAAAGAGAATAACATCATCTGAGAATGCTTGAATTACCAATAATGTAATATTTGTGATTTCATAAAAGAGTTGTTGTGATGTTGCTAGTCTCAAGTCTCTTTCTCAGTGGAATCTTATTTGTTGTTTTGTTAGTAATTCTAATCTTTGTCGTCGTATGTGTTAATTTGGAATATCGATTTCTCTGAGAGCTTCAATAGAATTCTCTAATGATGCCGCCAAATGAAACTTACTGTTATTAAATAATGAAAAGTTTTATTTGTTGTTGTTTAGCCATCTATGATTGTACTTTCGCATCTGTTTTTTACTCCACAACGTTTTCCTCAGTCTCACTTTCTTCGTCACAGCTGTCTTGTTCTTCAGCATCACCATCTCCTATTGTCCTATCATTCTGCCTAGTTCTTCGTTCCTCAGCAGCGGAAATCTCTTTATCGTAGAACAATAAGTATGAACCTCTGATATCCTCGTAGACCATCTTGCGGACATACCTCTTCTTTCTCCACTTAGAGAGATGAAGGTGTTTAGCGAATTTGTCCATTGAGAATTTGAGTAGTATGCCAAGACTTGAGACAATGATGGCTGTTAAATCACAATTAACATGGAACTGGCTCTCTACATCCTTGATGAGGTGCTGATGCTTATCAACCTTCTGGACGTATACTTATTACATGGTATTGACACGGTCACCATTTGCATCATCGCTCATTTGTCCATAAGAAATTGAAAATTCGATCAAGTAAATTGTGTTAGTTACCTGATCGAAGTATTGGAGATCTGGTTTCAGCGTTGCTTCATGTCTTGTGAGTGATCTATTGTTATGCTTGACCATACAAGATACACTCTTGAATTGCTTCCATAACAACCCTCTGGACAGCGTTATGCCTTCTTATTTGAAGAGCTAAATTTGACCTACATCCATTTAGTCTGTGCATGAGGAAGTCATTCACATTATCTATACATTGTAAAACTGACACTTATGCTTCACTAATGGATCCCTCTTATCCATGAGTTCTCCGGAGCAAAGCTGATTAAGCCTTCTGTTGATTACAAAGTTCATCATCTTTCCGCTCATCTTGGGAGTGTAATTTCCGATAAAGTAGTTAGTATCTGTATTGTCCTTTCTTGTGATGAATGAATGACCTTATATTTGAATTACCAATAATGTATCCGCTGTCGCTGTAATTGTTTGTGATTTCATTCAAGCGTGGTTGTAATGTGCGGGAAAAAAAACAAAGGACTGAGTGGACATCCTTGTTTAAAGCCCATTTTCCCTGAAATTTCGTTTGTTGTTCTGTTTCCAATTCTAAACTTTGTCGTCATATAAATATATAATTCATTGATGGTATTAACAAGTTCATTCGGAATGCCAATTTCTCTGAGTGCTTCAATTGCGTACTCTGTAGGAACAGAGCTGAAAGCATCTTTGAAATCGATTGCAATGACATGAATATCTTTTCTTTCTTTTCGTGCATCATGAATAAGTTCTTTACAGATCACATCATGTTCCATGCAATCATCAACACCTCTCATGAAACCTTTTTGGACAGAGTTTATGAAACGGTGTTTCATGTTGATCTCTTGCAGCAGCCCAAATATGAAATATGGAAGAAGCTACATCCAATGGATGTTAGCTTCCAGTGTGACCTAGATCACCTCCCTTATAAATGAGATTGGATCTCGCTTTGCACCAGAGCAGTGGGAACTTCCCTAATTCGAGCATCTTCTGCGATATCATTGCTATAATCTCAGCAAATTTGTCTGGATGAGCTTTGATTATGCTATATGTGATAATATCTAGGCCTGCTGCTGATACTTTTGAACACTTTGAGATAACTTGCTTGTATAAGTCCTTGTCATCGAGAGTGCTAATAACTCCATTCATATCTGGTTGTGATATTGAATCAAACATTTTGAAAATGTGATCTCCCCCTGGAATAACAAATCTATTTTCATTCCATGAAACATTTTTGAATAGGTATATATTTGTATAAAAAAAATAAGATCTGGTGTATCATTTTGACAAATCTTGCTTTTAATTTTATCTGCATTCCGAAACTTTGTCTTTGTTTGTCCATTTTACTGTTATGATATGATGAAAAGTTTTATGTTGTTTTTTGGCTATCAATGACTGTTCCCTTGTGATTGGTTTTATGCTTTTTGAAGAGATATTTTATAATAATGAATTATGGAAAATTAGAAAAAAAAGAAAAATTTGGGACTTCGCGGACTTGAACCACGTACCTTGCGATCTTCAGTCGCACGCTCTCCCAGGTGAGCTAAAGTCCCTTTACATTTTTAATGTTAAAATAAAATTCTATAATATATAAATTTAAACATTGTTATGAAAATAAATAATCGTGAAATGAAAAATTTTGAAAGTAAATTCTTAAAAACATCTTTTTACTATTTATTATTTGCATACTTCACGATTTAAACATTGACGGTTTTTTTTTCTAGAATCAAAATCTCGAGCACAAAAGTGACATTGAATACTAGTAAGTATAGAATTTCCATGTAAACTATTCAATTTTATCGTTTTTTGTAGTCCACATTTCCTCACTCTCGATTTTACTCATAAAAATATTAAAAAATCACTATACAATATATAAAATATATATTTATATTATTAAAACCATGTTATTTTTGCGAGATTGCATCTGAAATTAAAATTAGGGATTTTTTGATTTTTGAACTAAAATTTGGGATTGGCAATTATTGATTAATCAATTGGAATATGAAAGAAACAAATTTAAAATTGAATAGAATGCGCCGATAGAGTTTTTCTCACAATTTTAAAAAGTTGCTCAATTCCTATTTTTGATTGAGTTTTTGCAAATGCTATATATCAAGTGACAAAATAAAAATAAAATTTTTGCTGCAATTCTATTTTTGCAACAATTTGTAAATAACGAGCAATCCTTGTATTCCAATAATCAACACTGCGATCACATATTATAAGAAATCCTTTTGAATTAGATTTTTCTTCGAATATTAAACCGGACAGTGTATTTCATGTTGCTTTGCGAGAAGATATATAATTTGCAAAGTGAATAAGATGTACACGATTCTGTATAAATCGGTAATTATTGTTTGGGAAATAACTCGGCATTGTATGAGAGATAATCTTAAGAGATTTTTAGATATGTTGAAATTTATATTATTTAGCTTCATTATCATTTGTTAATGTGTGTCTTTGCTGTTTTCTGATATTGGATATAAAGAACTCTTCTGTGAACGAAAAAAATCTTATAAATCATTTAATTCTAAACGTGCACAAAACTCATTCAATTTATGAAAATCGAATTTTTTTTGATATTGAGCTATTCCATATAAAACTAAAGAATACTTTATATTTTTAGTAAAAAAATGTTGAAAGCAGCTTATTCCCAATACATGTTGATTCAGACGTCAAAAAAAGTATTATAGTCAATCAAAATACAATGTGTCGAATCTTGTTCATTTATTACTATCGGATATTCTGAATTTTCTTTAAGATTAGATATGATTTTCACAATTTTAACCATTGTATGCTTTTTTGAGTGATGTACTGTTGGATCCCAATGTTTGTGTTATATTTGAATGTTACACTCTTCGTAATTCCTATGTCACAATAATTTTTAAATTGTAATAAGGTAGGTTAAAATAATGGCTGCTAAAACTACCGTTCGTAACACTCTCAATTTTGTATCGTTACGGGCGGGAGCGCCTGTGAATTTGCCGATTTCAAAATAAATAAACTTTACATTTGTAAACTGTTTACATTTGTAAACACTTTACAACACGTAAAGTCCTCAAATTTGAGAGTGTTACTGTCAAAATTTCGTGTTACGAGTGATTTTACCTACCTTATAGCCTCATTTAAAAGAGATCGATATATTACTATTTTTGATTTTACTATGCACATACTTGTTATATTCATAATTAAATAATAAGAAAAAAACATAATACCCAGATTTGCTTTACTTTTACCACTCCCCATGTAATTTCTGGGGAAAACGATAATTCATTTTTTTTATGGATGAATAGATCGTTTTCCTAGAAAGGACCTCATATCTCTGGCTAAAAAGAGTGTCAGATCCTAAATAGATTATTGATCTAGTGTACAAATCCAATAAAAAGCCTATTTTTTTGGCTTTTTTGGTGCTCATTTTTTCGAAGATCTACATGAATATGGGGAAACCATCGGATTTTTTTGGTTAACCCACATCTTCATGTAGTCTGGACTATCTTTCCTCGAAGGACCTCTTTACGGGTGTAAAAACTCATAAAGTTCTCAAAAGATTCATTCTCGATCTCCATGCTGAAAGAATTTACAATAAAAAAGAGATCTACGCATCAAACTACAGCCATAAATGAACTGAACCCCTAAAGCTCAGCTCTTAGTTTATCAAAAACGTCGAAATCCTTCTCATTGCAATCAAATTTTCTCAATAACTCATAAGAAAAATCGAATTTTGATTAAGCCGATGTTATAGGTATCACAAATACTACAAACTTGAGCAATATCGAAATTGCCAGCAAAAGTTTGAAATTGCATTGCTCATATTTGTTTTGTAAACTAAAAATCTGCTTATATTATTCATTAATTTTTTATATATTATTCATATACTTTAATAAAAACAATACTATTTCACCTTAAAAATGAATTTCATAAGTCAATATTATTTTTTTGAAAATGTATCAATTTTCGATTAAAACAACATGAGAATAAAATTTACGCAAAATTATTTTAAAAAATGGTTTTAAAAATTTACAATTGATTAAGAATAAGATTGGAAGAAGTTTTGAAGTTTAATTTTAAGAAAAAAAATTCGGATATTATTCATGGATCTAAGTAATCTGATATTTGAGTATCGGCACTATGCATAAAACATATATTTATAGTTTTTTTGGATTTTTATGATTTATTTTAAATGTATTCAAATTTGGCAATCCAATAGATTTTTAAAAAATAGGTAAATAAAAATAGATTACATATGCAGCAGATTTAGAACATGAAACAAATCTTATAGTGACCCAAAAAAAAATTCATGATCCAAAAAAGAAAAAAATTGGTTAAATGGGAATCAAACCTTGGCATAACGAATCATTATATCAGATGTTTCCACTACACTACACCGGCAGTTCGAAAAATACCCTTGGTGGTTCTATTTAATAGCTACTCCCAACGATAGGCGGTGTCCCCAGCTTTCGAGAGGTGGTAAAAGTAAAGCAAATCTGGGTAATATCAATTTTGCAATAACATGTTTTAAGCGTCAATACAACTGCCTAAATATATAATACATCTATCATATAATATAAAATTATGAGTATGTGGTTACAAAATACAATATTATCAAATCAGATTTCATTATGAAATCAATATTTGATATATTCATAATAAATCACATTGTTAATATAATAATCATTATCAAAGAAACAATAAGAAATAAAATATCAACCTTAATGTTAGAGAATTTTCAAATTGTTTCAAATTAAAAATAAGAACTTATTTAACCATATCCTATCGTCCAATATATGGAATCGTGCAATTTATATTCGGATATTTTAGAAAAATATATCAATTTAGTTCATAAATTATTCTTTATATTATTTCAGTATATCATATTGCACAATCATGTTATAATATTGGAATGTAGTTTTGTATTGTATTGTTTGGTTCTAAGTCTTCTCATTTCAAAAAGATTATTCCTTATTTCCTCAAAAAGGCTAAGTAAATCAAAACTGGGATAGCATATACTAAATAATATATAATTGGATAAGCATAATAGCTCAGGACGAAAGAAAAAAAATCAGATAAAAGTATGCATAATATTTTCGGTTCAGTTTATTTTTAAATGAATTGTCATTAAATTTGTAATGCATTTTTTAAACCAAAAAACCAAAATTCCAAGCTTTTACTTTTGAATGGTATTCAAATTTACCCTCTCCTATGAAAATGCCCCAGCAATATTTTTCAATGCTCTTTTGTTCAATATTCCATTCAATTCTTATAATGTTCGTCTTTTGTTTTTATACATATTCTCATCATGATTTCAAAATAAAAATTCCCGAAAATAATTTACTGAATCGATCATTTTTGAATACTGATGATTGCTCCGGATTAGACCTCGAATACACTACCAAACGAAGAAGTGCCGTGGGCAATCATACCATTTGTATACTACAAAGACTATCCAGGCCAGCAAAATAACTATGTTAAAACCACAAGATACAACATTTGGACTTTTTTACCTCTAACTTTATACGAAAACTTTCGTAACTTAACAAACATCTACTTCTTATTGATTTTAATCATGACGTTTCTCCCTTATTCGCCTGTTTTCTGGGCATTTAACTTTTTTCCTTTAATTTTCGTATTATTAGTATCAATGATCAAGAGCGGTATTGAAGATTACTTGAGACATCGTCAAGATGTCAAGCGAAACAAGAGTCCTGTTTCAATTTATCGTTTTGGCGAATGGACAGTTGAAGAATCATCGAAAATACATGTCGGAGACATTGTAATGATCAAATCAGGTGATACTGTACCATGTGATATGATCTATTTGACATCTTCGAACCCGAATAAAACGACAAACTACAGTGAGACTAGTCTTAATGGAGAATCGGCGATCAAAATGATGAGCCAGCACCCAGCCTTCAAAGACCTTGATATCCCTATGGCCTTCTTCCGTAAGCAATATTCTGTTCATGCTGGTCCTCCCGATGCAAACCTGTACAAATTCGATGCAAAGCTTGTCTGCGAGAACGAAAAGTGGGTATATCAATACAGAACATACTTCTAAGAGGCTGCGTTGTCCATTATACCGAATTTACAATCGGAGTTGCAATTAGAACGGGACATGACTGTACGATCATGAAGAACAGGCGTTCACCACCATCAAAGATGACAAAATTCGACAAGGACGTTAACAAAATGATCATTTACATCTTTGTTTTCAAAATGTTGTTCGTATTTGCATTAACTATCGCTAATATGCTATTACAATACAAAGAACCTATACTTAAAGATGTCAGAGATTCATATGGTATATCTTTTGGTAAAGGTTTCATGCAATATTTTATTTTATTAAGTTATATGATCCCAATTTCGTTAGTTGTTACGGTAGAAATCCTAAAAATGGCTCATATGTTGTTCATTCATTGGGATTACAAGATGTATTATGAAGAATTCGGTTATTCTGAGCTTCATAATTCGAATTTAATTGTAACTTTGGCAGAAATCACACATGTATTGAGTGATAAGACGGGAACACTTACAGAAAACATTATGCAACTCGTAAACTTCACAGATGTCAACGGCCCCCATAAATCTGAAGATTTTATTCAAGATATCTCAGAAAATTATAAGATTTTAGAGAAATCGTCTGAATTTATACATTGCTTAGCCCTTTGTAATAACGTTGTCATGTTCCATAATCCAAACGGAGAAACAGAATACAACGCAGAATCTCCAGATGAAGCTTCCCTCGTCAAATTCGCAGCGCAGTGTGGTATAAAGCTTAACGAACATGATCCTACGTCGATTGAACTACATTCTATACAAGAAAACGGTGAAAATGAGAATGAAAAATATAAAATCGTCTCTTTCATACTGTTTAACTCTGATCGTAAGCGTAGTACTATTGTTCTTCAAAAGGAAGGTACCGATCAGTTGGTAGTTTACTCGAAAGGTGCTGATTCTGTTATGTATCCCTTATGTAACCAGAATCTTTACTCAGGAGATGTAAACAAGTACGCTATAGCTGGTTTTAGAACTCTTGTCTTCGCCAAAAGAGTACTTTTCCAAGAAGAAGCCGAAGAATGGCTCTCAATGTGGAAAGATGCAGAGTCAAAGTTCGAAAACCGCGATGAAGAGATCTTCAAAATCGCCAAATTCGTTGAATCCAAACTCGATGTCGTTGGAATTTCAGCTGCTGAAGATAAATTGCAGCCAAAAGTTCCAGAAACGGTCATGTGGCTAAGGAAAGCCAACATAGCGTTATGGATGCTCACAGGCGACAAGCTTGAGACTGCAATTGAGATTGGAAAGACGTCATCAATTATTTTACCTGATGCCGACATTTTAATCATCTCAAACAACAATGAAACAGAGTTTACCAAACAGATAAACAACTATCTGAACGATTTCGAGTCATTTAAAGAACCTGTTCTGATATTAAATTCAGAAACAACGAATTTTGCTCTTAAAAACCAGAAACTCTTCATGGAACTCGCAAGTAAATGCAGAAGCTGCATTTTCTTGAGGGTTTCGCCTATAATGAAAGCGACAATTGTTGATATGATCAAACAAACCAAGAATTCAATGGTTCTCCCAATTGGCGATGGTTCCAATGATGTTGGAATGATACAAGAAGCACATATTGGTGTCGGAGTCTTCGGAAGAGAAGGATCACAAGCGACACAATCAGCAGATTTCGCCATTACAAGGTTTAACAACCTTGTTCGACTTATATCTGTACATGGAACATGGAGTTATACAAGACTGACAACAGATACGGTCTTTATGCTCTATAAGAATTTTGTTTATATTTTAATTGTCATTTGGTCCACGTTTGACACTTTAGCTAGTCCACCCACCTTTTATAATGACTCCATTTACTTTTGGATTATTCGAACAAGTTCTTCCAAGCGAAACTTTAGAGAATAACCCAGAATTACATCACCAACAGCATAATCCCATGAATCCTGTTGATCTCTTCTTCTATTTGTTGAGAGCTATATACCAATCTCTCGCAATTTTCTTGATTGTTAGATATTCTCATCATATGAAAGACTTGGAAACAAATGGAACAATTTGTTTCTACAGCGTTGTTTATACAATAACAATACAAATGATGTTGTGGACACATAACTACAATGGATGGATAATTGCTGGTTTCGTTGTCCAATTGTTGTTAATTCACGCTGTTTCTATTTTGTATTGTTTCGTATTCAGCAAACAATACAAATCTAATTTGTTGATGTTGTATGGACGTCCTGAAGGATGGTTTGCTTTCTTCGCTGCTTGTTTGGTTGCTTTGATTCCTCCTTTGTTTGTTGAAGTTTGTCTTGTTTATTTGAAGCCAGAATTGGGAAGATTGATGATTGAGAAATTGGCAATGAGAAAACAATCAAAGAAAATAGAACATGAACCTATAACTCAATATGAACCTATTTATATTTTTTTGTTTGTATTATTATATGTGTTTTTATATGTAAACAGTTATTTAAATATATTCATATTGTGTTTATTAAGTGAGCATTTATGCCCCTATATGTTTAAAGTTGATTTAAGATGTTATTCAAATGTTAGTTGTCAAAAATTTGAATTAAAGTCAGATGGGCGTAAGTGCAGCCTTAAAAAATCATATTTATAATATGAACAAAGAGTTCAGTTTTGGACCTGAGATTTTTGTTAATAGTATAATCTAATTATGTGCGTACTTAAACTCATATGACACTTCCTTCAATTCTGATGTTTCAAGTTAATTTTTACTGTTGCTTCCCATCCATTTTCAGAAATTTGAATTGAGTAATATATGAGTTAGGATTTTTATTCTGATTGAGAACATAATAAAACTATGTGTAAAATATCAATTTTATTTATTTCAGATTCCCAATTTAAATGGAATTGAGCTTTGTAGATAAATAAATGCTAACTCGATTTTTGATATAGATATGTAAAATAAAAAGAGATATTTAATGTTTATATTGTCGTGGAAAAGCGTGGAAATTCAAAACTGCCATTTGAGACTCTGTTTGTCAGATATTGTTTCAAAGTTATTGACATTGTTTGTTTTGTGTCAGAAAGAACTCAATTTTCCTCTCAAGGGATGGTTTTATTTGAAAAAAAAATGCACATTTTTGACACAAAAAGAAAATTGATCCTTTATTTAAATAAAAAGTTTCTTGGCTTCATCCAAAAGCTTTTGGAGTTCATGTTCTTTCAATGGCCTAACTTGCAAAGTTGTGAGATGGTTGGTGATTTTTCCATCACAGTACTCAATGTATTTTATCTTAGTAAGTGCTTGATAGCCGAAATCGATATAGCCTTTAACCATATCTGCATCTAATCCACTTCCATTTGGTTTAGCTGAGATAAACTCGATGGCAACATATTTGTGGCCATTCATATCTTTAATTTGGGTGCCAAAGATCTTTTCTCCATTTAATTTTATTTCTTTTTCGGCAAGAAGAGGATAATTGGTTCTTAAGAACGACTTAAGCCCAGCAAAATTGGCAAAATGTCTTTTCTGGGAGTTTAAACGACTTTGATGATCGCCGATCTCCATTGGAAGATCCTCTGTTGAGGTTTTATGGCCGCAACCAATAAGCTCGTCTTCAGCATTAAGTTCATAATATGGAACTCTCACATGACGGCGTGGACGAACGAGCCTGGACTCTCTTAGGCTGATGAAGCAAAGAAGAAACATTATTGTTTTATGAAAAATATTGTGAATGGCGGTTTAAACCAATTTAATCGCTTTATTGACATGTCAATTTTTTTAAATCTTCTTTTTGCCAGGCAAAAATTATTTAAAATACATTGAGTATAAATGATGTATTTAATAGCCTTTAAAAATATTTTCTGGAGTTAACCGTCTTCAATTTGAAAGCCTTCATTGGTTAATCTGAAAAATGTACGGAGTTTATTCGATTTTCAGTCACTTCAAGCTGTATGTGTTACAAAATTATTTAAAGGTGAATCCAAAAAATATTGAATTGTTACGCAATTCAATTATTGGCAATTTGCCAAAATTTTGAGAGTCAATCTTGAATGGTTGGAAATATTGTGCAACTGGGTTGAATGAAATTCTTCGCATTATAAAATAATCACTGTTTATATATCGATATAGATATAAATCTGAAATTGTTTAATTTTATATCAATCGAAAATAAAACAAAATCAGTAAAAGACTCAACTGAATTCCACAAACATAGCATAAAATTTACTTATAATTAATTAGATACAATACATATTTTATTAAAAATTTTAAAAATCAATTACACTAAAAAAGCCCAAGTCAGGATAATCCTCTGAAAAAACTGTATCATCGTCGTTATCAGAATCACTAATTTCTTCACAACTTCCGCTTTCATCAGTTCTAAGATCATCATTCTGAGAAATTACATCATTCTTATGCAAAATTGCATCATTGTTGTTAAACAATGGGTAAAAATAAAACTGTTTATCAGCAAGTTCTGAATCATCATCGTCAAGAACGAAATTTGTGTCTTCCTGATTAACTGTCATAAAAGAATCGTATTTAGATGAATATATACATCGTTTAAAGATCTTCCAGTTCTGATTTTTCTTATTTGAATTGGAATTTGCCATAACAATATCAACTGTCTCATCATTATGGACTGCTTTGATAACCATGTCTGATTCGGCGCAAGAAAATATCGAATTATTGTGATTTGGTATATATAACCAAAATTGTTTTGGATTTAATTCTTGTCTGAAGGGAGTAAATGTTAATTTACGCGTAGAATCGTATTCTGATAGTATTGGTCCCATGGTTAATGCATATTCTTCTGCAGCGTCAGAAAATAAAATTGCGCAAGGAATTTCTGGAATAGGATAAGGTATGCAATAATCAGATACGTCGATTTTGAGGCATGTCATCGTAACGTTTTCTGGTATATCTGTTGATAAAATAAAAGATGAATCTGATTTTTCTGTTGGAATAACGAATTTTTCTAAATTTTTATTTGCAATGAAGTTGTTGTAGAATGAAAATGTTTGATTCACGTCGTCTTCTTCTGTAATATTCGTAATAGAAAGGGTGCTAAACTTGTCATCTGAATTTTCTTCTGTAAGTGCCATAAATGGGTATATCAATGGCATGAAATGTTGTTTGGCTTGATCAAAAACCCATATTTGCGATATATCTTCTTGATTTGGATTTTTTCTGACAATTGAAAAACTTTCTTCTATTTCTTGGTCAACAGGATCGATGGCAAGAGAAAATTCTTGCCCCCTGTACTTAAATAATATTAAATATGTGTTCGTTTCGTATGATTCGGTCATGAAAAATTTGAAAAATTTAAATTGTAAAGGATATTTTTTTTAAATTTTCAATTGATAGATTTGATCGATTTACAATATTTTGAAATATTATAAATTATTGATATACACTGTAAGTAAAGCAAATAATGCGAGACAAAATTTTCGACTATTTATTTGCCGTCAAAAAAAAATTTCGCGAGAGCCATTTTCAATCTGGCTTAGCATATACAATCTTAAAATAAAGAGATATGGCAATGAGTTGTCTGGCAAAATCTCATCAATACTCCAAAATACACATTGAGATTAGATATTTTGGGTTATGTTTGATACATAATTAGCGCGCAAACTTGCCTTTGAGTCACACATTAATTTTATTTTCTCATAATATCTCATTGTATGGGGATATTCCGAATATATTCTTATATCTAATCAAATAAGATGGATAATGAAGTTCTGAACAGAAATACATTATGGTTCCTCCTTTACGCTTTATAAAAGCTATATAACTCCTAATTTAAATTTTAAAAAGATTTATTCAGGCTCGGAATTGGTAAAAAATAGTTTTTCTAAACAAAGAAATTGAATTCCTTCTTAATGTTAAAATTTGCAATGGAACATCCTCATTAATGACTTTGGAAATGCAGGCATCGTTTCTGTCATAATAGTGTCCCCAATAATGTGGGCGGCGTGGGTGGTGAATCCTAGATACTCCAAGACCAATTAAACAAAGAAGAAACATTAATGTTTTATAAATAAAACAATAGATTAATTCAATTTTTTGGCATCTGACATGACAATTTTTAAAATCTTATTTTTGCCAAATGAAAAAAATGCTCGAATCATCATATATTATATGTGTGAAAGATATATTTTCAAAATTAGACATTTGACGGTTTTTGGCATTTGACATTTTTGCCTGATTTTGCTAAAATTTCTAGTCTGCCGAGCTTAGACATCGACAATTCGGCGTGGTTAATAGTATTTAGGATAGGATATCGGAGCATAACCCAAAATTGAAGCCTAAATACTAATATGGATAATCTTAATTTTGGCCATTAGCAGCTCAATGAAAATTTGATATTATATAATATGATATATGTCCTTTATAATATCTTTTTTCCAGCCATTTTTAAAAAATTGAGACCCTCCTGGTCCTCTTTCTGATATAGTACGTATGATAACGTTTTGTTTTGATTATGAACGAGTAATATAATAAACAGAAATTCATTTACATTTCACGGAATGGCTAGTAGTAGGATATGACGGGTTTAGTGACTTTTTTTGTTACATCTATATATAGACGATGCATTAAAATATATTTATTTATAAATCATTAAAAAATTAACATTAATTTTAAAATAATTTATTTTTTTATCTTTTATAAAAGAAGCTATATATAGATGATGTCAGATATTCCGCGATTAATTAAACATTGTTTAAATCCTGAATGGGTTAAACTTCAATCTAAAAATGAAGATTGTGAATTATTAAATGAATATGAAAGCCAAAATAAGCTAATGAGGTATAAATATAATGATAAAGAATATTTAATTTCATGGAATCAATGGAGTCATAATCAAAGACCTCATAAACGAGAAGAAGAAATTGAAAATAATGAAATGGAAATCATTGATGACATTAAAGAGGATGGAATTCCTAAATTTTGTAGAAAAACCTTTAGAACTAAGTTAGGAGCATATAAACGTAGAGTATTAAATCCTGAATACATAAAACATTTATTTAAAAAGGAAGACTGTGAATTATTAAACGCTAATGAATATGAAAATGCTAAATCAAAACTGAGATATAAATATATTGGAAGTGATGAAAGGTGTAAAGATAAAGATAAAGTTTATTCAGTTTCATATAATAACTGGCACACGTTAGGGATAAGAAAACATTTAGGAGATTATGGGAAATGTTCTGAATTCTTTAAATCTAGTATGTACGAGAGAGTAAAAGAAATTAGAAATAATTATTTTCATGAATAAAAGATTCACTACCATAATGAAATAAAAAATAAAAAAATTTTTAAAAAATAAACTTTAAAAATTAATGTCTTACATTTTTGAATAATTTATTTTTTTAATTCGTAAGAAATGAACGGAACAAAATTCGTGACTGTAAATCAATTAATGAATAAACTTTCACCAATTCTCACCCAGGTTAAACAAGTAGACGTTTATTTTGATGATTGCATACAAAGTTTATTTTATAAAGGTAAGTTTAATATTAAACCTATTGCTTTTGCATTTGATGGTAAATTAATCGAAAATTCAAAAATTTGGGAATTAATTCCGGATATTGAATTTATAACAAATATTAAGGATAAATGGTTTAAACAACAAAACCACCTCACTAAAGTTCTTTGTAGATTAATGATTAAAACTGAGGAAAAAGAATTTAACAGGTTTAAATATCATCCGTGTAAAATTTTAGAACTTGGTAACGAAAAACTTCAGAAAAAATTAAACGATAGACTATCAAAAGATAAAGTTGAAAGAGTAAATAAACTCGCTAAAGGTAATGGTAATGATGAAGAAGAATTTGATGAGTTCAACATTGAACTTTAAGAAACTAATGATTATTTGAATTTATGAAATCAATTATTTGATTCATTCTTTTTCAATCTCTTCTATTCTTTTTGTTAAATCATAAATTTTCATTAATGAGGTGATTCTTGATTGAGGAATAGATTTCAAACTAACCACCCCTTTTATTTTTGAAATTTTGAATCCATCAACTTTAAACATTTTATTCAATTTACACGTTGTCAATTCTTCAAATAATTTTTTATTATTGGCATAATAGTCATTAAATTCTTCAACAGATGAAAAAATTTTTATTTCAGTAATTGGTTTAACAACGTTTATTTTTTGTTGAACATTTTCACTTTCATTTATTTCTTCCTCCTCTGTTTCATTTATTTTTAAAATCGGTTTCATTTATCATTAAATAAAAATTAGAATATAAGTGATGAAATATATTTTTTTAATTAATATTAAATCAGAAATGGCGGCAGGATTCTTTAAAAAATTATGGATGGAATTAAGAAAGCTGCGGGTTGGGTTTATAAAAAGATTATTAAACCGTTGCAAACTTTTTGGCACCAGTAGCGAAAACGGCAGGAACTATCATAGGTGGAGTATTAGGTACTAAAGCAGGTAATCCGGCGATGGGAGCACAAGCAGGTAACGCAGTTGGTGGAATTGCTGAAGGAATACTTAATAAAATAGGAGGTAGATAGTGGAAAAATAAATAAATATTATTTTTATCTTAGTATCGGTTGTAGTCTTTGATAAACTTTTTCTCCTTTATTTAAAATTTCTCTTATTGGGGCGGCTTTTGGTGTTATTGATTCAGCAACGTCACTAATTGCTTCTTTATTCTTAAATATCCAATTTGCCCCCTTCTTCAATGTTTCCCAAACTTTACTCGCTCCTCTTTTTACTTTATCCCACAGTTTCTTAAATATACCTGCAGCCATAGTTGATTATTTCATTAAAATTAAAAATTCATTTTCATCTTTTAATTTTGATTTTTTATTTATTAATAAATGACGACTAACTATTTGGTGCCAAACACTAAACCGATTAATGGAAATGTATTTCATTCATTCGAAAAGATAAATGAAATATTCGCAAAGAATGACGGTAGAAGATATTATAGAGAACTTGAAAGTTTATGCTATGACTCTGATGCTCCATATTTTGATGATAAACAAACTCATTTAAGAATTACAAATCCGGCTCATGATGTGAACCAATTAGGTGACACATATATTAAACGCAAAGTTAAAGCAACTCTAGTTTCAAATAAAGCTTTCACATGTGATGCCGCTTTTAAATGCATGCGTTTATTCGTTGGTTACAAATCATCAAATCAAAGCTTTAAACAATTAGAAGTAGAAACCGAAAGAGGTGATGCCGGTTATCTTCAGATGGATTGCGCCCGTGAATCTTTCGCATTTGCAACATATAAACCAAAATCAGAAAGGAAAGTTAAAAAGTTTGTTCATTCGTTATATAATAATGTTCAAAAATATGATAACTCAGTATGTGGTAAATATATTGACCCTTCAGAAGTTTTCAAGAAAGCAAATGAAGAAGTTGATGTCACTTTTGATATGATTATTCCGGTAAATGATTTGTTAGCATTTCAGGCGTTCGATGATTATCCTAAATCATTTGGTGATATCATTCTTAAATATTATGTTTTCAGGGATACTTTAGTATTTTGTCAGGTTGACCCGTTAAGAGTTGCTGATTTACAAAATTACGTTTATGAAAAGATAACTGATGAAAATTATGAAAAGATTATGAATCATGTTTATAAATATGATCGCAAATTCCAACAAATCGGACTTCCTGCCAAATTAATTACAAGCTTAGCCGCTACATCTGCTGACGCAACAGTTGATGACGTTATTATTTCATGCACAAAGATGGAAGTTTTAGAGGATAAATGCATTACACCAGGATACGGTTTAATTGAAGAATCAGTTAAAGCAATACCACGTTTATTCAGTAAGGAAGATCCATTCATGATTCCAGCTCAACATATTGACGTTCGTTCACTAAATGGAGGTTGCATCACTCCTGAAGGTATTAGCTCAGATTTCTCATACGCCCTTCATAATGTTACAGATGTTGTGTTAGCATTTCCGAAGAATGCAATGCAAAGAACGGTTTTAGAAAATCCAATGCTTCGAGGTCTTCAGGTCACTATAGATTCCAGAAACTTCCCCGATCAAGTGATGACCACAGTGGGTGACATATTCTTTACATGTATGCTTCAAGCTTCTGATTTAGATGGAGTGAATGAATGCACAGAAGAATACGAGGACTCATTAACTAGACCACTGAATGCAGATGATGGCACACCATTAGCTAGAACATGGAAAGACCAAACTTCATTCTTATGCACTATTCCAGTTCAACGTGATGGAGCGGGTATATTCTTTGATGGATTAGAAACTTTCAACTCACAAGTTACAGTACAAGTGAAAGCTTATTCAATCA